GAGTTTATTTTCCTGGGAACCAGCAGTTAGCGTAATGGCTATGTCGCTGGACTCCCATGTAGTCGACCACAGTTCGTGTCCCGGACCCGGTGGCTTAAAACTCACGCTGGGCACGTGTGCGTGCGTGCCCAAGATCCCGAGAGGAGAATGGAGGAGAAGGGATTGCGGCGTGACCATCCCCCCTGGGGGGTGATTTCTTGCTTTCTGTCTCTATGTCTCTCTGTGTCTGTCTGGCAAGCGCACGCGCCCTGTAGCAAAAACTTCTCTCAAAAAAGAAAAAAAAAAAAAGAGTTTATTTCCTCAGACCAAGATTACTGTAGAGCTTGAAGCCCTCCAAAACCAGAAGAAGCACTTCAAGTCTGTGCTGGTTATTCTGAAATGAGTGTTCTGTTATTCTTCCACCCCTCAGCTATAGGCTCTAAAATGATCTTTTCTTCTCAGTTCAATACAAATATTTCATTTTTTTCATGTGTGTGAGTGTATTTTCCTAGAAGGCTTGTGCATTTTCCAGAGAGAGACAGACAGAGGAAGAGAGGAGAAAGTTCCCCCAAAGGGAAACAGTCAGGCTATAATTCCTTTTCTTTTTCTCTCCTTTCTGTCCAGAATTTGAGCACATGTCTACACACACAGACACACACACACAAACACACACACACACACACACGACATGTTTCTCTGATTGCAAAGTCCATAACTTCAATGCGCAGTCGGCCATGTGGGATCTGACTGACTTAACCATCAAATCACGTAGCCGGCCCTTTATTTTCTTCTTAGTGTGAGAGATCACTGTGTAGTAAGACCTCCAACCTGTGAACAGAAGCTTCATTTTCCAAAGGGGATTTTCATTTGAAAGCAAAAAAAATCCCACACAAATGAAACTATACTTGGTGAAATTCCAGAAAATGTAATTTCATGAGATTTCCTCCAGTATGGTAGATAATCATGGAGCAAGAGGAATTTTTCACAGGTGCTCTGCAACTAGAGCCAATACTGGATATTGTGCTTGGCGTGCGCAGATGATTCAAAGTGGCAGAGGTCAGATTCCCTTCCAGAGTTGCTATCCCGCCTTCCAGAGCGAGATGCCCTGTGTTCGGATCCTATAGCGCCGCAGTCTTTCCCATCCTTCCTCAGCCTCAGTTACTGGCCACTGGTTTTTCACAAGGCAGCTTCCCAGAACATGTAACTGTTGTCTTAGGGTAAGGTCCTAGAAGCCTGATACAAAAATATCATCCCTGGGTGTCGCATCTCCCTTCCAATTTCATCCTAGGACGCTTACCTCTAATCTCAGATGTGAAATATTTCTATGTCTCGGGGGATCCTCAAATCTGAGAGGGCTTGCCCATAATGTTTATCAGTTCCAAAGAATATACCCAGAGGTCCAGAGGTAGGAGAAGACGTGAGCTTACTTACATTGAGAGAAATAATGTTCTACTGATTCCTGGGCAGAGAATGGTCCAACCTGCTGCTGGATAAGGGTATCGTAAGGTTTTGTACAGTAAGAACAAAGCATTCAGGGTCAGCAGATGGCATAGTAGTTACATCTCTGAACTCCCACAGGGCCAACTGCAGTTTGAGTCCTGGGCCCGGTGACTTGAAAATCACACCAAGCCCTGTGCGTGTGTGACCAAGATCTCCAGAAGAGAACGGAGGAGAAGGGATTGCAGCATGGCCATCCCTCTGCAGGGTGATTTCTCTTTTTCTGTCTGTCTATGCTTTCTGCAAGCCCATGTACCCTAAGATAAAAACCTCTAAGATAATTTAAGGAAAAAAAAAATAAAAAGGACAAACCATTCATAAATCAATTAAAGATCAATGCAGATTTCCTGTCACCAAGACAGGGGTCCGGTTTGTACACACAATGCTTGACGGTTACAGTAAAGATTCGCTTATCGATTCACAGAATCAGCAGAGTACCTTTAGGGTTTAATGCGCAAACCTAGTGATGTTGATGTGGGAGGGGTATGCATAGCTCTGCAATAGCCCTGGCTGTAAGCCAATACCAGAAAGCGAAGGTGATGGTCACAGTTACAGGAGGCTCCACTGGACCAGCAACTGGATCTAAGGGAGAAAGGCCAGTGGGAGGAGGGAAGCGACCTCAATGTATGGAGACTATACTCAATTCTTAAGAATCACCTAGGGAACTTACTAAAAATGCAGACTCAGAGGCTCAGATTCTGATTGGTAAGACTAGGACGAAGCCCAGAAAGCTGCATTTTTATAAGGTCTCCTCCTCCATAGGTTCAGTACAGGTGGGAGGTAGACTATATTTGGAGAAATAGCGCCCTGGGGACGTGGAGTGAGCTATTAGCTTAGCCTACTCTCTTGAACTCTTTTCACTCTTTTCTAGTAAGTGCTGACATTGTTTGTTATTAATGGGGCTGGGCCATCTGCTCACAACTTTAAGACAAAAACACAATAAACAAAAGAGGGAATGTTGCTTCTAGGAATTCTTGTGCCATTTTTCTCTTTTTTTTTCTGTTTGCAAGAAGATGAACCTTTTTTGTGATGTGGACTTTGACAACAAATTGAGAAATGGGCGAATCCTCTCCCACTCAGATATTGCTTTATTTGCTGAGGTCAGATGACTTGGCCTAAAAGCAAATACATAAGGAAGAAATGACCACCTCAAAGGGCTCTCAAATGGAAGTTAGAGTAATCAAGAGTTAAATGCAATGTTTATGCGATATGTTTATAAACCTGGTTGAGAACCAACAGCTAGGGTAGAACCAATAGGCAAAATGACAACCCATTTGGCCAATTGAGGGATTAATTACTGTGGCCTGGGGGGGAGGCGGCAGGGCCCTTTCCTACCCATGACATCTGGAAGTAATTATCCCATCCTGGCTGCCTCCCAGGCCTGAGACAGGTCTCTGACAGAAATCCATGCGCCCCCTGGTGGTTTGGAGGTAAACTACAATAAAAATCACTATATTTTTGTATTTCTCCACTGTTCTATTCAACACCCACACAGAACGTCTTCGGGGTCAGATCTTTAGCTACAGAGTTCCTCTCAAAACTGCTTGGGCGGAGGCGGATGCCGGGAGTGCGCGGCGGCGGCGGCGGCTGCCGGGACGCGAGTGGGCGGTGACCTTGTGGAAGGTGGTCACATTCTTGGGGAAAATGCTGGGCACCGTCGCCGCGCTGAAGGTGGTTCTGTCCCTGCTCCGGGTGTGCTTAGCGATGGCCTGGAAATCCGGCAGCGCCAGCCACTCGGAGCTTATCCACAATCTCCGCAAAAATGGAATCATTAAGACTGATAAAGTATTTGAAGTTATGCTAGCTACAGACCGCTCCCACTGTACGAAGTGTAACCCATGTATGGGTTCTCCACAATCAGTAGGTTTCCAAGCAAAAATCAGTGCCCCACACATGCTTGAGTAGGCACTAGAACTTCTATTTGACCAAATGGCATGAAGGAGCTAAAGCTCTCCATATAGGATCTGGAAGTGGAATCCTTACTGCATGCTTTGCACAAATAGTTGGATGTAGTGGCAAAGTCATAGGAATTGATCACATTAAAGAGGTAGTAAATGACTCAATAAATAACCTCAGAAAGGATGATCCAGCACTTCTGTCCGGGGAGAATGCAACTAGTTGTAGGAGATAGAAGAATGGGACGCCACAGAAGCCCACTCATGTAGAAGCTGCTGCCCCACCCGTGCCCCAGGCCCTATACACCAATTAAAGCCTGGTGGAAGACTGATACTGCCAGTGGGTCCGCAGGTGGAAACCAGATGTTGGAGCAGTAGCATAAGCCACAAGACGGCTGCGTCAAAATGAAGCCTCTGATGGGGGTGATTCACGTGTCTTTAACAGAGAAAGCAATGGCTCAGGGACGAACTGTAAAAGCAACATCAACTCAACCCAACTATAATAGTACAGTGGATTGCTCATCTCAGTCCTCACAGCTTTTTGAAAACAACAGCATCACAGCTTGTTTTGGATTTCAATACACTAGTATTTTCAGCATGAATGTGTATAGTTTAATAGGGCTTCTAATCCTTCAAGGAAGCACAGATTGGTGAGAAAGATGCAAAATATGAATTTGTATGTGATTAACAAGTCCACAGTTTACATTAAAATATTAAAAGAGGGACCAGCAGTTAGCGTAATGGCTATGTCGCTGGACTCCCATGTAGTCGACTGCGATTCGAGTCCAGGACCCAGTGGCTTAAACTCACACCGGGCGCATGTGCGTGCGTGCCCAAGATCCTGAGAGGAGAATGGTGGAAAAGGGATTGCAGCGTGGCCATCCCCCCTGGGGGGTGATTTCTCGCTTTCTGTCTCTCTGTCTCCCTGTCTGTCTGGCGAGCACACGCGCCCTATAGCAAAAACCTCTCAAAAAAAAAAAAATTAAAAGAAAGGGTTCTGCAAAATGGAAAACTTAGTTT